ATGAAACTGCGCGTTACGATCATCGAAAGAACAAACTGTTTTACATCAGTGTTATTTTTGCCATTCTGTACATCATAATTTTCATTCGACAACCTCGCGGAAGCGAACTACAAATGGGTTTTTACTTAATTTAAAAATTACATTAAAAATTAAGTACTTAAGTTTATTTTAATTTGATTATAGATACAATAAAACGGTTTAGACGCGATGACGCAAAGAAAATTGAAATTCACTGCATGTTAATTATAAAACTATAAAATTATGATTCATTCGGAATTGAATATATCAATAAAACGATGTTATTTTTAAATTATACGAATTTGTTATATATATATAATATTACTGATGTGTATTCGACTTTTGAATACATAAATATTTGAACTAAAGAAATTACACGTTATCAAATAATATGTATTTTGTTAACAACTTTCTAATTCAAAACACGCGTCTTTTATGAAGCAATTTTGCATACTAAAATACTTGTTAAGATTAGACAATGAAAAACAGGAAGTGGAAATATTTATCGCTCAGGAAAGAATTCCGTTTATAAAAACGAATCACGAGTAGAAAAGTACGTAAATCGTAAAGGAGTTTCGCAACTCGGAGCGCGGAATGCAGCGGTCAGCTGCACGAGGAGGACGTAACAAACATTACGCAAATCGGCCTTCGTCAGAGTCGCAATTATTTAGGATATGAAAACGCGATTACCTGCTTTCCTCGATATCCTTCGCCGATGTTCCGCCGAGCTTGCAGATTTGCGCAACGCGCTAATGACTTCATAATTCTCGGAACTCGCGTTTACGGTTGCAGCGAGAAGGGAACTTCGATCGAAATCATTTCTCGGACATTCGTGACTCTGTTTTATCTTAACCTTTCGTCGAAGAAAATTGAATCGAAAAATTTGCAGCCGAAAAGACGATCGACGAATTATTAATTGCAACGAAAATTGCAATTTCCGACGTACCTCGTGTCCGAAGTCCTCTCTCGGGACTTTGCGTGCACGACGAAGGGGAAGATAGCCGATAATGATGCTTGGGTGTTCTCGCGACAACTCGAGATCATCCGTCGTCGAAGATGAGATGCCTGTATCTCGTTGCCCCGTCCGTCGGTCGTTGTTCTGTCGCGATTCATCGTGAGCAGCGTGATGTCACGACGTATTGTATTTCGCTTATCGGCGCCGGATGCCGATTCCTCGTTCAACCCAGCAGCATTTCAGGAATGCGAATGCCACTAGTTTTCTCCGCGACGACCGACGACGGCGACCTTCGCCCCGGAGATCGACTTTGCCCTCCTGGCTAATCGATATACCTTCTACGCGTTACGCCTCGTCTGTCGTTTCCGTTCTTTTCACGTCGCCGGGATATCATGCACAAGATTGTCTCGTCGTTGAACTTCCGGCTGTAACAACATATCGTTCGTATCTTGTATCATTATTTGCGAATCTCGGAGCGTCGTTAAGTTCGCCTTTTCAGGCGACCTATTATTCGCGATAGAATTCGAGATAGAGATTTCGAACTTTTTAAATGATATAAAATATAATTAAATTTTATGAAAATGTTGATAATTTTATCTATCTACAATTCGATAAAATTCTATTCATAATTTTATGTGCCATGTAATACAAGAAACATTTGAAATATCAAAATACACGCACGTACAAAATATATATCAGTAACATGTTTTTGTATGCGTATTCTGATTTTTCAAATGTTTTTTATTACCTGAAATTATAAATATTTTAATGAAATTTATTTATATTTAATATCTATCATATTTAATTGTATTTAATATTTTAGAAATCCTATCTCGAATTTTGTCGCGAATTATAGGTCTCAAAGCAGTCTCTAGAGATGCAACTGTTTTTGCATTAGTAACCGTGTCATATGAACCGTGACCTGAAAGTATATTTAATTAGAGGTGATCAATTTAATGCATTCGATCTTAGTTCCAATTATCAGTAATATCGTATTTCTCGTGCCGAAGTCGATTACACTTTTCCGAGCTCGAGCGGCTGGTTTATTATCCGGAGACTGTAGTCTCTTCTGATTGGGGCTCCCGTATATATGTAATACAGTTTGTCGCGGCCATCAGATCATTGTGGATCGATGTTATGACAATAGCCGAGCGCGGTAGCGTATTCTTGTTTTCAAAACACCGCCTCTCCTCGTGTGTACAAGGATGATCCTGGGCTCTCGCTGCTGCAGGAAATCGTATACTCCCGGCGGCAGCTACGAGGTTCGAAAAGAGAGAGATCCGCGTCGCTACATTAAAATCTACTTCCCTCTCGCCAGCCGAGTCCTCCGAGCAATTTCTGAAATTTGTGTCCGCTCACGGCGACATGGGAAAACACGCGCGTGTGTTTCGCGACGGAAAAATCGTATTTCCGGAAATACGGCAAAAAACCCGAGTCGCCGCATCGCCCGGAGATAAATCCGTGGAATATGATCTTGTATTTTAATATGTTATTATGTAACATTAAAAGATCTGACACGGATACACTGTTATCGAGATTAATTAAAGATTTGGCGGAAAAGAGGATGCAAAACAAGAATGAAAATTTTGGAGAAAGCAACTTTCTCATTTTTGTTATTTCGTTTTTTCTTATCTCAATCGATAATATTCGCAATATTTACGAATTTTTAATAATTTCTAATAATATTACGGGAGATTTATTTTGTTATCGCAGTTTGATCATTTTAACTCTATTGACCAAATAGCTTTTTGCTGATCCCGCACCGGCAGCGAAAAGAAAAATCTGCGTCAGTGGAAGCGCCGTGAACCGCTGTGCATGACGTTCGTGAGATCACCATCCGGCGATCGATGCGTCGGCGATGCGTGAGCACGGCACGACACCGGCGTATCCGTGTTTCCACAACACGGCTGTTCGCCTGGACGACGAGGCGATACGGGAAATTTTACACCCAGTGTCCGTGTCGCGCGAACATCTTGTTTGGATCCATCATCTAGCCCGGAGCACGTGTCCAGCGTTTTCGCGAGCCGTAACCGGTAACAGTATCATCGATACCCACGGCGATGTTGTAGATACGTAATATGTATCTCGTGTAACGGATCGAGATACACGGCGTTCGACTTTCGTCACGACCCGATCGTTGCATTGCAGATTACTGAGAAGTTACTAAGCGCTGTAAGCTATTTTCGTTAGTGCAGATGTAGCTCCGTTCGCAGGCAAATTTTCCATCCGTTTTACGTTACAATCGAAGATTCGGATTGCGCGGAATTATACGATAAGTATTATGGGAGACAAAGTATTCTTTTTTTTTTTATTTTTAATAATTCTTTTTCTGCAATTATGAAATTTGTTAAAATTTTGATAAAGCTGCTTATTATTGTGCAATATAATTGTAATGTAAGTTTCAAGTTTTCAGAATTATGATGAAAAATTTGTAAAATGTGTAATTTATTTTCTCGCTTTTTTTACGATCGTTATTTTGCACCTTGATATGTCTCTCCCGCGTTTTACGCGTGCAAAGCAATTTGCGCGGTCGTTAACGTCCGCGTTTAACGACTCGTAGTACGATGTCAATTGCACGATGGTCGCGGATTTTTGCTGCAAAACGCTTTTCGCGAAATTTCACGATCTACTTCGTGTAGCGTATTTTCGTGAAAACATGAAAACTTTTTGTTAATGTTAGTCACGTAATTAGATAAATTTCCGTCTGCCGGCCAATCGGAGTCGACTTTCGTCCTTCCACATTTTGCTTCGCCCCGGGTTTGTTCGCTTTTATCCCGCTCCTCTTTTTCTTTCTCTTCCCCATTTCGCCCCACGGCGCGCACGTAAGTTATTGGTGTCCAGTTACATCCAGTTCCAGTTACACGTGCCGCAGGGCACCGATGCATTCGATGCTCGCCCCGTGCGCTCGCACTGCAGCGCTCGCGCGCTTCTGAATACACGGGCTCTCCCTGGCGTTTCCCGTATGTGTTTTGTGATTTTATTGCATCGCAAAAAACAGATTATCGTACTGTTTTAATGGAAGCTGTGTTCGAAAGCTTCGTGAAAGAAAATTCAACATTGCCGCGACGTATTATTAGTTTTTCCTGTAACATGGGCACAAGTTACGCGTTTAAATTTCATTTTATTCTTCGAATTTCTTTGATTTCGCAAATATAATAATTTGAAATCGCAAAACTACTATTCCTGTTTGTTATTATTTTTGTTTCATTTTGCTCTTTGAAAATATTTTTATAAATTACGCGCTTTTAACAAATGTTTTGTTCGAATATTAATTCAAAAAATCCTTTCTCGAATCAGAAACTGAATTGAACATCTGAAGGCTTGCTAAGGATCGAGCTGTGGAACTCGGAATATCGCCGGAGCGCACACACAAGGGTATTCTCTCGCTTGTGGTTTATCGCTTCGTATATCGGCTCTTGGCACTAAACATAAAAGCCTGTGTGGGCCTCGGGTGTCCCGGCGTACGTTCCTCTTAAATAGGTCAATTGTTTTGCTCGGACAAGATTTCTGAGAACTACGCATTACGCACTCACGTGCGCGCGGATCATTCGATCGACGATGAAAGAAGGCAGGCGAGCGCTGCCCATTGTCCAGGTTCTCGGAGCAACGATAGAATTGTCATCTTGGAATTCGCGATTGCCCTGTATCGGTTTTCGAATTCCCGCGATATCGTCACGATAATCTTGAGCACTTCCTCGTCGAAATAATATCAAATTAAAAATTATATGTACACGGAGAAAATTTTATATCAGAAATTACTATGTGCGGCAGTAGCCGCGGACTATGAAGGAATCATAAAAAATTTTACTATGTTTTTCATATGTGAAACACAGTAAAAATTTTTGGTTCACGGTCCGCGGTTAATGTCGAACATAGTAATTTTTGATATAAAATTTTCTCCGTGTACCTACGACTCTAAACAAAGTTTTCATTTGTGAATACTAATCCAAAAATCTTTCCTTAAGTAAAAAAAATATGTTAATCAAATCGTTGAAAGTGTAAAGATCGAGTTTTCTCACCGTTTCAGTGAGCGGCTTCGTGTCGGACCTGCAGAGCGGCTGCATCGGCGGCACGTCGAAGGATCTCGATTCTTCGACGGTGCCCGGCAGCCTGGGACGCGGCCTGTCGCACCATGTATCCCTGAGCCATCATCATCATCATCATCATCCCCATCACAGCCTGCACAGCCCGAACTCTGTGGTCTCCATGCACTCCGCCACCACCGCCGGTACGGCGCATCATCATCTGGACGATAAGGGTTCGTCGCCGGTGGGCGCCCTTCACAGCACCACCAATAGCAATCCCTCTACGCCGTCCGCACCTTCCACGCCCACAACGGACAGTGCCGTGACCACCGCCGCATCCGGTACGAGCAACGCTAACGGCACCAGCGGTGGTACTTCCGCGGCGAACAGCAAGCCGCCCTTCAGCTACGTTGCCCTGATCGCCATGGCGATACAGCACAGCGCGCAAAAGAGAGCGACTCTCAGCGAGATCTATGCATACATTACCGCCAAGTTCCCGTACTTCGAGAAGAATAAAAAGGGATGGCAGAACTCCATCAGGCACAATCTGTCTCTGAACGAGTGCTTCGTCAAAGTGCCCCGAGAGGGTGGCGGCGAGAGGAAAGGCAACTTCTGGACGCTCGGTAAGATGTTGTCTGGATATTCATTTCAATCGCCTTCATCCCTGCAAAAATAAATAATGAGTTGGAAAAAAATCGATGGAAATTTATTCAACTGTTTCTGATTTCTGAAGTCAGAAATTAGATCCTCAATTTCTTTTTCATTTGTTTCTACAAAAGTAGAAATGATAAATTTCATAATTGTTAATATTTCGTTAAAAGTATCTTCAATTTTTATCAAACAATTTTTTACAGACTTTTTATCAAGTTGTATATATTTTTGTGTGAAATTTCCTGCATGGACATCGAACGTTTATTCATATTTACATTCGCACGGATATTTTGCGCGTTAGATCCGCAATACGAAGATATGTTCGAGAATGGCAATTACCGAAGGCGGAGAAGAATGAAGCGTCCCTATAGAAATGCTGCGTATCACAAACCGCTCTTCGGCGATCCGTTTTCGACGACTCATGTGCACTTGGGACCTAGAAACATCTTTGGCCACTCACCCCCTTCGTACGCTCCCACTGCTTACACGCGATACGACACGAGGTACTCACATTTCTAAATATCACGTGCGACTGCACTAGTTGTTATCACATGTATTATGTGTCAGTACACGCAGCCAAAAATTTTAGAACAAAGAAACTCCTGTTCTTGTAACATTCGTGTCTTATTTTTTAATATGTGCGTCTCAACAATATCTTTTTCGTGACATCTGAAAAAGTACAAAACTGTTATTCGAGAAAATACACAGCTTCTCTTATTATAGTGCATGGAGTCTCCAGCAATCGCAGCTCTCGTACAGTCATTGTCAATCGGTGAGTCCTTTTACGCCGTCCAAGTGACATCGTGCGGTATATCCTATTCGATAGTGTATCGAATAATTTGTTCGATTCTCGAGCGATTGAAGATTTTCAAGATATCACAAATTGGTTTCGAATCGTCAGAAGTTTTTTTTTATTACAGCTGCAGCCGCAATTGCAGCCGATGCAGTCGATGCAAATCCCGACGATGAACGGCTACAGCCAATTGGGCACTTCGTTAAGTGAGTCACTATTCTCGTACTTTGCACCCACTTTTGCCGAGCGGGGTAATGCTGAACGTCCAGACAAAGCGTTTCAAGGCAATTACCTGGATGTTCCAGGTGGAACGGCCGGATCGCCCGGCTCCATGGGCGGCGGGACCTTTGGCAGCAGTTTCACCACATGCGGCAGGCGACACGATTCCGCGATGGCCACAGACACGATGCCCGGCAGATGCTACTGGCCCGAGAGTAAGCGATTTTCATGAAAAATGTTTTCATTGTCATCTCCGCCTAAAATCAGTTTTTTTTTTTTTTATTATTACAACTGGAAGGTTTCGCTATTTTTTTCATATTAATTTTTTTATATAAATCGTGAAATGTTTCGGATGATAATTCGAACTCTTTTGTATCAAACGATGTTAAATGGAATAAACTAATTAAATGTATAAAAATGTTTGAAAGTTACCGAGTCTGTTTAAAAGGTATGTAATATAGTTTTGAAACACTGTGTACCGTTTCGCTGATTGCCGCAGTGGTGAACGTGAAGGAGGAGCCTGGGACAAACGCGGTGTCGACCGGCGGCGTCGGCGGCGTCGGCGTCCCCTCTGGCATGATGGGCACCGCGGCGACGTCGGGCGTCTCCGCGACGGGATTCGCGCCGATGGAATTCCAAACGCGCTCCAAATGCTTCATGTGAACGTCATCGTCGAATTGCAGCAGCGCATGACGAGCCGAGCTTCACGGCGGAACGATCCTGCATGATCCATCGCAGGACGACGGATTGAATCGCGATTCAGCGAATGGTGAGCGATGAACATTCGAATACATCCGCGATAACGCGGATTAAATTCATCAAATATTAGTGAATAATATTCGATAATTATTTAGCAATAGTATTGGATGCTTGTTCGCGATTTTTAACCGCGCGAGGAAAATAGCGTATACAATTTTGTGGAACTCGTGTAATTGCCGTTGTCGATCAGTGAGCTGTGTAACATAGTGCAGCGAGCCTTGAAGGAGTGGATGATCCATTGCGGAAAAGAGAGAGCTATATTGGACGGAGGGTCTGTCTCTCTTTGTTTTTCCCCCCTCAATACACGATAATAAATGTGGAAGTAAGACAGACGTCCGTATATTTATTGCTATCCTATCATATGGCCACAAACCACTGATTCTTATAGGAAAGGCTCACTTCATTATGTTACGCAGCTCAACGTTGTCGATGACTCGATGTTAAAGGAACGTTGCGTTCCAACGCGTCTTAGTAAGTGCACTGTATCATACGCTGTGTTAATACGTAAGCGATATGCAATGCACGGGTGCAATTGCGCTTATCGTATGAAACGAAATGCGGTATCCCGTAGCGCAAATCTCTTTGTGAGAACACAGACGCGATCACGTCTGCGTTATGATGCCAAGTATCGTAGATATTGCGAGATGAAAACAAAGCGATAGCAAAACGATCTCTTAACCTTATCTTCGTTTTTTGACATGTGAAAATACCTCTATCTTCATCGTTTTTTGACTGCTAGACAGTATTTAATAATGTCTTGAGAAGCGACAGACGAACGAGAATAGATGTTTTGATCGTGCGAGAATAAGAAAAAAAAACGCGTGCTTGTCAAATAAAACTTTTTTTTTCACATTAATTCAAAGATTATTCGTAGAATAATATTCAAAAATTTTGAAGCGTTTTTTGCGCTCTATATGTGTTTGTAAACGTTCGAATGATGTCTCTTCTATCGCGATATGATCATATGCAGAAACTTTTAGCTTTTAATTAATACAGATCTGTTAGGAAAGCGATGCAGAATAGAGAAAAGACGTCTTGTTGCAAAGAGTTCTTATATATATATACATATATATACATATATATATATATATATATATATATAAAAAGAGTAAATAGAATTTAATAGAGTTATATATGTTTAATCGTACAAATACGTCTTATGTGAATTATTAGAGTAGAGAAAAATTGTTTCCGCGACGATTGCAATGTAAATACACGATTAGTGTGTAGAGGCTGACTTTAAGAAAATCATAACGACGCGAATTACATAGTTTTATGTATAAATCCCTAAAATTAATTTCTATCGAATATAAACGTCTTGTTCGACTTATTATGCACAATAATCGTGTATAAGCATATCGTGGCAGCTGTGTACAGTGATCCGGCGACACTCACGTGAAAAAAAAGTGTAACAGTGTCTATAAGAGACGATGAAAATAAATATTGATTATTTATCATCGATAAAGATGGCGCTTTATTCGAAAGAGTATATGCCTCTCCCTTTGTTTATAATATTTCGTATGCTGTTTATGATGCGTTTGAAAATTCCGCAATCTTGCAAACATAATTTTATTTTAATTCTAACGTCTCACGCGCGCGCGCGCGCATGTATCGCAAAATATTATCGAAATAATCAATTTGCTGAAAAAAAAAGAGAGAGAAAAGAAATGGTTGATTGAAAATAGCTTCTACGCGGGTTGGTCGTTGCATCCTAGTAGAATTCTACGGCGCAGGGTGTCGAAGAGGTCGAACTGGACCAATGGCCGGCGAATGTTTACGAGCACGATGTTTTGCAAACAAGCCGTGCGCCGTGGGCTTTAATATTCCCCGTAAAATCTAGAACGGTACGGGTGAGCGCGCGTCAACACCGTGCGTGCATCAGAGCGGGAATAGCACGTGCATTTTATTTTCTGACTCGGGAATCGCGCGAAGGAGCACGTCGATGACGTTCGGGTGTAGCGTTTCTCCTAGAGACTGCAAATAAATTTTGCCAGTTGCTGGATTTATAATTGCGAGAAACGAGTGGACGTCGAAGAACGGCGAAAGTAAAGAAACGAAACGAAAACGACGGTGGTTTAAGATTCATAACATAAAATTGATATATGAAAAATAAAAACTTTTCACGTATCGTAGTTTTCATTAGAATTATATTGCTGCAATTTCAAGCGAGCCTTTTCAATCCTTTACTTTTCGGATTCACGCGACTCGTCGGGACGAACGTGAGAAAAAAGGATCATGAGACTTAGCTTGTCAGAAGCGCTTGGAGAAGTGCGGAGATTCACACGCACGTGCATCGTGCGTGGCGATGCGTGTAAGTAGAAGGCAGCGGTGACATATAGCGACGGCCGAGGGCGACGGTGCCGACCGTTTAGGCGACTATTAGCAGCTTCACGGGATGTTTCACGCACGTGCGTCTCCTGTGACGGCGGTCTGCGAGATCTGAGGACAGAGAATAGAGGATTTCCTCACGCTTTAGGCGTTTTACAATCGGTTAATCACAGATGAAATAATTTATATTATTACAATCTTGTAAGAAATTAGATAATTCTTTTTCCTGTTCGAACAAAAAAAAAGGATTTTTATGATTTTATAGAATAAATACAATTTTATTTATTTTTTTTTTTTTAAATGAGTAAAACTAGTGAGATATACTCACAACATTCTAAATAGAATGCGAGAAATTCAAGACTTCATAAAATAAAATCCTATTTTTTTTTCATTTATCTATTTTTTTTAATTACTTGGATTCATATTATTTTCCCGCATTCATAAAAGCGATTCTCTCGAATAAAAGCCAGATGATCACATTTAGTTTTAAATACAAGAATCTAGACCATTATTATTTTCTTCTATGTTTTCTTCCTGTGATTCTGACAAACCCGGAGTTAATGGTGATTGCGTTTAGCGTGAGGAAATCGTGAATCAGTTGAGTCTCACACTGATGGCAAGTATCCCTCAAGACGTATCCGTGTCAGAGAAAAGTCGAAACTAATTTTCTATTTCCTGAGAGACTCGAAGAAAAAAGAAGATAAAATCTATCTATTTTTGGCACGGATATCTCGCTTCGTTCTAATTCGATTGTAGCTACAGGAGTTAGAAACTGCGCTGTAATATACGATCGTTAAAAGTGGATTTAATTAAGCGTCGTGAAAGATCGGTCGAACGAACTAAGAGTGTGTCAGATATCGCTCGACCGATTTATAGTAATCCTCTCGTGGAAATTGTGGGCCATAAATTTCCGATAGCTTGATGTCAGACAGAAGTAGCGTCGAAACACGATTTCTTCGCGCATTGTCGATTTATCTCGATCTCATATTATCCCCTAATTATCAAAATATTTTCTTAAAATGATTCTGAAAAAATAAAATAAACAACACAATTAAATGAATTTAAAAAACAAGAGATTTTAGAAAAAAAAAAATATATTGATATTTCGCGAATTTTTACGCAACGAGAAATAACAGCACGGCATTAAGAGACAAGATGGATGCGGAAGTGCAGAAGAAACATTTATTTTATCACTCAGCATTGTTTTTGGGTCAGTAACTTTTTTTCATCAAACGAGAAGCTGCCTATCGCGAACGCGCGGCTTTTAAAGCGAGACGACGTCATGACGCGGACAATTTGTAGCAGAATGTCAACGCGACTGTTTCTATTTTCGAGTGCGGCGAGCACGGCTATCTTTTTCTTTTTCTGCTTCTTCATCTCCGTGTTCTCTTCGTGTTCTTTCTCCCTTTCCCCTTCTTCGTCTACCTGCTCTTCTTTTTCTTCTCCGCTCGCCCACCGACGAGGGCGGCGGCATCCTTAAATCCACGCATGATATACACGCATTCAGTGAAGCATATTTACTTTAAAATCAAAAGTATTCGATTAAAATTTTAAATTTTCCAAAACTATCTTCAAAAAGTGATTTTTCTTTACAACTAGTGTTAAAAAATGATAACTTTTTCAGATAAAATAATATTGCATTTAAGGCAATTATGAGTAGGAAATGTGAGATGATTAGATATTGTCAACATATTTTTCTTTCTCTCTATGAAAAAATACCAACTAAAATATGATAAAATATCCTGCCGTTGCCGGTTACTAGATGAGTTTAACTCTTCGCACCTCCTTTTCCTGTTGGCGTTAATAACGAGTATATTTTGCCTCAACACGCGCGCTCGCGTTCTCCCTTGCGTGAGTGCACGGCCAAGCACGTACGGCTCGTGCTAACTGCACCTCTTTGTTTTTCCTCAGCATCTTGTGACACGTACGGGTGTATCGATTCGACTTCGGCTTTTATGCACGCACTCTCGGCTGCCCGAAAATTCGAAGGAAAATGCAACGTGACAAATACGCTGCTATATCAAATATTGCAAGATCAGCGAAAAGTAGATGCTATCTACGTTGTTTTTTGTCAAATCAAGAATTGATTTTTTTCCGCGCAAATGAAGAAAGTTATCTCCCGACTTGCGAATTAACATCAATTAATATTAATTGCGATTTCAAAGTTAAATCCCAAACTGTTTTTAATAAATCTGGTATATTATTTCGTTGCTTTTTTTTAAATGTCTTTATAAAATCGTTCCTCACCTGGCAAATAAAACCATTATCTACAGATGACGAGACTCCTGCGGAAACCCATGTGTTATTCAGGTATGGATGACGTGTAATGGATGGTTAATTTGCGGAAAATAAATTGGAAATGAAGAAGAGAGTCTTTGGCAGTTGCGTTTAGGACCAAGGAAACGGAAATATCTGCAATAAGATGGAAATAAGACAATACAATACAAGCACATTATACTTCCTGTTATATTAACAATATATTTAATCTTTAATCGCCGACGGCAGCCGGCAGATACGCGCTGTACTACCTTCGGTAATGTAGTGATATAAACACACTTGCGCACAGAAAAGTTTCATAATTTTAATACTCGGTTCTATTATAACTTGTCATTTGCTTTTCTTTTTGCGGGGAATGATTGACGGAAGGAGAACGAGAGATACTTGCACGTCGTGCATACGCCATTCATCTCCTGTTACGACGGTTAATCTTCTTCGAGGAGGTCATCGTCAAGATTCACACCCTGAAACAGAAGATTATAAATACTTTCTGATAACATATCAACGCTGATTCGCGATCAAATCTATCTGATCGAGATCGCGTTTGGAAAACTAGAATTCTGCGCGATCCTCGCAGTCTTTAAATGGAAAAATATCAAAACGCAGGTATTCCTAAATGCACTATCGCGAGTGAATGGAAAAAAAGAGCAGGAGGCAGAGCGTGACAAAACGTAGTAATGGTTGGAACCTTATAGTAAAAGGGGTCCGGTTCAACTCGGGAGTCGAGTGTTATGGCAACATGGCTGTAAACAAAACGCAGCGTGACTGCCTCGGAGCAAACAAGCCCTGGGGCTTTCTCGCAAAAGCTCGCAGAGAGAGAGAGAGAGAGACGTATCTCTGTCCTCCCATGTTCGTATCAATTACACCGAGACAAGCCTTAATGATCTGTCGCCGATTTTCGCATTACGCGCGCATATGTCTACGTTTTTTAATAGAGAGACTTATATTAATTCACATATTTAAATTTCCCTTTCTAGTATGAATTAATTTTGAAAATTGCTTTCATTAATTTCTAGAATCGTAAGCATTATTATTATACAAAATTGTTTAAACTACAGAACAAGTAAGCTATGTCTATCTCGTAATTTTATATCGGATTTTTATTTTTTACACCACGACTTCTTCGTTTTAATAACGCACAAATCACGTTCTAAGAATGTTTGCTCCGTGATATATAATACAAGAATGGATTTTACAAATACGATGTACTTCATGATATATTCTGCATGTACATAATCGATTTATATACTACATACGTCGTGTCCCCTTTCTTGTTTTGGTAATGCTATACCCTTCTAAAGTTACGTCCATATTTAAGAGCATTACACTATAGCCTAATTGTACGTCCTCCAACTCTTATTTGTTCGCGCCTTCTTCCTTTTTCAACTTGTTTTCAACAATTTTACGTTTGAGGTACACTTATTCTAATTCACTTATAATTCAAATTTATTGCGATATAATTTAATTATTTTAATTGCATAATTATATCTCTTTTGCAGCGAACGTGTAATTTTTCGACATTGAAAACAAGGGGGAATAGAAAAATACATAAAGAATTAATTAACTTACTGATGTATCAATGTTCTCGTCGATATCTAGATCAATGTCCAAGTCGTCGTCGTCGTCTATTGTAAGAGGCCTGGAACTACTTGCGGGCTTTGTCGTCGCTTTCTCGGTGGGAATAGTCGCTGCACTTGCTTTAAGGACGCTATCTTTTGCAGATATTGAAATATCTTGCAATCTTTGAGTGTAATTGTCGAGTGGTGTTTCAGGCAGTTTTGTCTCGGCCTCAGAAGTGCTGCTTATGCCGCCCTTATATTGAAACGTACCCGACTGCTCGGCAACCAGCATTTCTTCTATTGGTTTCCGCTCGACATTAGACTATATAATTGATATAAACTGATTAGTCATACAATTTTTTGCAATACATCCTATGGAGGTTCGACGTTGTGTCAGTGAAATGCAAGTTTTATTAATAAGAGCCAGATTGATTTTATATAGCGCTGTAACGATGTAACAATAAAGATACGGGGACGTAAAGTCTTTATTATCGGTGCGATATGCAAACTCGAGTTTACAAATGCGATTACGTGTCCATAAAATATTATTCAAGTCTTTCACAGCATATTGTTGTCGTTATTAAAGTTACGAGCTGATTGAGACGAGTAATAGATTGGTTTCAGCAAGATGATTTGTATCGTATTAATACTATTACAGTTTAATGATTTTCGATTAAAAAAAAATTACACTAAAACGCCGCTAATCGCATTCGATGATGTTTTTGCTATCTATTTTGATATTTGATTCACCTCGCTAATATTGCTAATATTAAAAAAAATTGCATACCGTAACAGTGGGAAATGCAGAAGCCGGAATCTTCCTCTTGCTCTCATCTCGCAAGAACTTTTCCACCTTTAGGGCTTCTCTGTAGCCCGGGAAAAGATTCTCGTATTGCTCGGGATCCGCCAAGCTTTGTCCGGCCTTCTCGCTCACCGCCGAAAGTTTCTCTTTCCACAATTTGATGATATGCGAGATTTTACTGGGCGCGTATGTCCTGGCAAAGAACGCCGCCTCAGGAATTCTGTCCGTCTTGATTAAGATGTCCAGGCATTTATCGATGTCACCTAGTATGAAATTCGACAAGAAGGAAATATTGTTCTTCCCCGTTTCGTCCGCGATCGTGCCGAGCTTCTCTATCATATCCGCGTTTCCTGTGCTGGTGGCTAACAACAACAGGCCACCGAAATCTTGGGCCTGATGCAAGCACTCCTGCGCCAGACAAAGTTTGCCTTTCTGCGTGGCGAGAGAAGCCAACTGCCGCCACTTCTGTTGGCTGTTTGCTTCCTTGGCTAGCGTGTGTGCGGTTATCAGATTTCCCAGCGCGAGTGCTAGTTCGAATCTATGCTCAGGATCCGTTGATACCGCCAGCGCTTGCTCTTTGAAGCCCTACGACAACACGATGAAAATAAAAACAATTCTCATCGAATCATTATTAACGCTTGCCGCAAGAATACATACATAAATTACATACCTGTTTTTCTAAGAAGTGAGCCACTCTCGTTCGATGTTCCTTCGGGACAGTCGGTAATACTCTGTTGGCAGTTTCGAAATCTTTCCGCATAACTGCGGTTTGATACTCTAGCACGGAGAGCAAGAGAGAATACGAGACGACAGACAGTTCCTTATCGCATAGATACAATCTGTTATCTCTCGGTACGTATCCCAACAAGTACATCGGTCTGTCCAGATGCGAAACTGTAACCACTTCGCCGCCAACGAAGTAATTAATACGGTTGACGCTGTTAGTGTAGATGAAACAGTCGCCGACCCATAAACCGGTTTTTACTACTTCGTTCATCTCTGCTACCATCTAAAAATCAAATTTATAAAAATCAGAGATAGAAAACAAAATTTGCTAAAGCAGGAATATTTGAAGTTCTTTGATATTCAATCAGTTGTAAAATAAAAAGATTATTCATCTTTGAAGAACTGCAAAGTTCTTTTTAAATCGTGAAACTTTTGCTTTAAAAAATAATGTATCAGATTGTTCAAAAAGTTTTCTAATTTTTTAATAACAAAATTTAAAAAAAACTTTAAACTCAATATTTCAGTTTAATACACAATCTACTTTAAAATATAATAGTGATTTCAAGAGGTTATAAGTCTCATAGGTCTTTAAAGACCGAAAGTATAAAAATACCTCGAAAGCATTTTCAATATCCTCAGCATTTTCTGCAGCATTAGCGACAGCGTCCGAATGATACTTCAGTATAAAATATTGATCTGATGTTGCTAATGCCACTAACGAGGCGTTCTCAGCCCAATAAACATGCGTGGGCTGTATGTCTATGCGACGAATCAATCTTAACGAATCCCAATCGAAAAAGGAGAGGCCAGATCCGGACGATACGCCAAGTAAAAATCCACCAAAGATACCTACAAATAATATGTAACAGTAAGTAAAAGTCACGTCGACACAAAACGACGGAGAAATAAAAGATGCCTTACCATCCGCTCCGAAATCTGGCTTGAAGCTTTTCTTTTCCTTGAAATTTTTGAATACCTTCACCGTCGTATTACTCTCTCTCACTGCGTATTGGCTCGAGTCTGCCGCCCACACAAATTCAGACGCCTGGCCAAACGCCTTGTTCCTCAACGCCATGGATGTGTATATGATGTATTCCCCATCGCCGCAGACCACCAGAAATCGCCCGTTCGGATTGTGTTGTATCGTTTGCGGATAAATCTCACAGGCGCCCATGTCCTTGACGGCCAACGGCAGCCGCTCGCCATCCTGAGCTTCCTCACCCAACGCTTTCAAGTTCACTTGCTGAATTTCGCTGTGACGCGCCCACACGATCTTCCCGCCTAGCGAATCCATCGAGACGGCAGGTTCCTCTCTACCGACTTTCACCATAACGCTACCTTCGTCGTAGCCGATGGCGACGTTGTTCGAGCCTCGCATACATGCAATCGTCCACACTCTCTCGAAGCTGTAATTGAGAGAAGACTCCAACCTGTACGTTCCAGCGTGCCATATTCTGACAGTGCCGTCTTCTGAGGCAGTGAGAACAATTGGTAATTCCGGATGGAAACACACGGCAGAGATATTCTGAGTATGACCCTCCAGGGTTTGCACGCAAGTCTTATTCTGATAATCCCATATTTTAACATATCTGTCATCAGCGCCTGATATCAAATACGGCTTATCCCCACCATGATAATAATCCACACAGTTGACACCCTTCTCGTGACCTTCCAGTGTAAAATTAGCTGTAGACGAACCAAGTTGCCATACTTTGACGGTTCTATCCAGAGATGCACTGGCAAAAGTGTTGTTGTCCTTGGGATTGAATACAATCTGCATGACGTAGTGGGTGTGACCCTCGAATACTTGTTGGCAGATCCAGGACTTCTCCCAGTTCCACAATTTAATCCACATGTCATCTGTAAAAAACAGTTA